ATGAATCAACTTGGCCAAGGTTAAAGTGTGGGGCCTAAGTCCAGGACTCCTGACTTCTGGCCAAAGTGTTTCTTGCTCCCTCTCATTTCACTTCTGTGCCCATTCCAACCTTCTGGTTCGTGGACTTTCTGAGTTTGTAATCTATCTATTTATTTATTTAACCCTCACCTGAGGACATTTTTCCATTTTTGTTCAGATAGAGTGGGAGGGAGAGAAAGAGAGAGAGAGAAAGAGACATCAACGTGAAAAGGACACATCGATTGTTGCTTCCTGCATGATCCAACCAGGGCCGGGGATGAATCGCACTGAGGTACATGCCCTTGACTGGAATTGAACCCGTGACTCATCGGTCCGTGGGCCGACGCTCTAACCACTGAGCCACCGGCCAGGCTGAGTTTGTAATCTCTTAATCAAGAGAATTCAATCAAAGATACAGGCAGGTGCTTGGCTTGGGGCTTTCCTTACGAAAGCTGGGCTAACCCTCCATTTAAAATCCCTCCAAGGCAAAGACCAGACATTCTCTTCAATAAACAGTAAACAAGCAGACGATAAAAAGAAAATTACAGTCGCGTGAGGTTATACAGCCTATTTACTTGAATTTCAGTTGTTGTTACGAGAATTTATGGTATATTTATCATCATGAAAAGCATTTATCTTTGGGCAACTAACGCAATAAGAAAGGCGTAGCACTGAATTTTACTCACAATATTTCCTTTAATTCAATCTGACACCACAAAAAAAAGAATCAGTTAGAATTTACTGGCTCAGGATAATTCCTAATTCTCAGATGGCAGCTGCCAGAAAAGCTAATTAATTCAGATTGACTGCTGGGATTCATTTTTTATTTGGACTTAAAAAAAAAAAAAATGAATGAGCATAGCAGATCAATAGCATATGTGCAGCCTGGGCTCACACTCTAAGATGTTCTCTGCCAGCTGGGTGCTGTGCCCTCTGAGCCTCCAGCCCACAGAGGGAGGCTTCTGGGAGGACGGGTGCCTCCCAAACCTCAGCCAAGAGCCACAGCCGTCTGGGCTGGGTTCTAGAGCAAGGCAACGGGACAGTCTGAACGCTGAAGTCAGACGGCTCTGATTTAGTCCTCCCACTTACTGGGTGACTGTGGGCATTTGATTCCATTCTGAGCTTCAGTTTCCTCTGCAACTGGGCACAACCCTACCTGCAGCCCAGGCTGTGAAAGGGGAGTAGATTGCAGGTGATCCCTGCACAGTAAGAGCATTGCGTACAGCGCATCCCACTACACCGGGGCTTCATCGTACAGTGCTGTCTACTAGGAAAGTTTCACCCCTTTATTCATTTGTTCAATTGCTATTTAAATTTTTTTTTTTCCTTTCTTGATTTGAGAGAGAGAGGAAGTGAAAAGGAGAGAGAGAGAAACATCGAGGAGAGAGAACATCGACTGGCCACCTCCTGCTACTGGGCATCGGGCCCACAACCTGGGCATGTGTCCTGGCCGGGAGCTGGTGACCTCTTGTGTATGGGTCGATGCTCAACCACTGAGCCACACTGGCCGGACTGTTCAGTCGCTACTTACTGAGCAGCTGTAGCGGGCTGTGGCAGAGGGCTGGGGATATACCAGTGAACAAGGCGGATGAGTCCTGGCTAGCACAGTGTTCACGTTCTCTTTGGGAGAGATAACTGGTATACAAGTAAACAAAACATCTTTGGAAGAAATCCATCAAGTCAGTGAGCTGAAGCGTGAGGCGTGAGGTCGCGTGGCCAGGGAAGGCCACGGGGACATTGGCGCTGAGACTGGACTTATGTGAAGGGGCCGGTTCTGCGAAGTCCTGCGGGGAGCCGTCTAGGCACAGAGAGCGAGTGCCCGGCCTGCTGGGGACGGGGCGTGGGGTGGCTGCCGCTCCTGAGAAGGACACAGACCTGGAGAGCAGGCTGGGCCTTCTGCTTGGGGTTGGCAAACGTTTCCTGTAAAGGGCTAGATAACAAGTCCTGGGCTCTGAGAACCACGTGGGTTCGGCACAGTTATGGCTGCAGCAGAAACAGGCTCGGACAACGTGTAAAGATTGGGCGTGGCTGTGTCCCAATAAACTGTACAGACAAAAGCGGTGCACGAGCAGGAGTTGCCCAGAGGCTGCAGTGTGCCAGCGTCGTGTTAAGTCAGGGCGGAGTCTGACGTTTGTTCCAAGCACAGCGAGCTGCCATTAGAAGGCAGTCAGCGGGGCTATCACGTGGCCTGACCCATGTTTTTGACTTTGATCTGGGGCTTTACACCAATAATACAGTAAGTCCTCACCTGACATCCTCAACAGTTTCTTGGAAACTGTGACTTTAAGCAAAATAATGTATAATAAAACCAATTTTACCGTAGGCTGATTGATGCAAACATGAGTCAAGTTCTTATTTAACTGGTTACAAAAACATATTTCTGGTCACGAAGACATCACCAAACTTCTAAATGAAGCCCCCAAGCCTGTCTAATAGTAAACATTGAGATAAATGTGAACTAAACATACAATTAAGAAAACCCACGCAGACATGGGGAGAACATGGACACTCCAGGCAGTGGCCTGGCCAGGAACTGACTTTGTTCCTCATCACTTTACAAGGAAGTGAGAGGACAGGAGGACGCTGTCCGGGGCTCTGCGGCGTGCTGAGCTGCCCAGGGCTCCCAGGGGCTCCCACAGCGTCTCCAGGAGAGTCCAAGGCTCCTCGAGGCCAGCCCGTGGGAGGAATTAAAAGATGAAGAGAGAAGAAGAGGAGGATGAGCAGAAGGAGAATAAGAGCAAGAAGGGAAGGGGAAGGGGAGAGGAAGAGAAAAAACAGAAGTAAGAGAAATGCATATTCTTTGCATGGCCGAAGAGTGGTCTTTGGGTCTGGCTTTGTTAGTGTTACACCTTGAGATACCTAGTGTGGTGAATGGTGGTATTTTGTTTATTGTCGTTGCTCTAAAGGATTTCACCGTGTGGATATATTGCCATTTATCTACGCATTCTCCCACGGGCTTCATAACAAGGAGCACCTGGGGATGCCGGCACGCTCAAAGGTTTAATTCAGGTGTCGGCACCAAGCTGGTCCTACGGCCGGCCGTGGGTCAGCATCTGGGTCTGTGAGTTCTAACAGCCCGGGAGCAGGCAGGAGAGTGTGAGTTCCCCAAAGCCCTGGCCCAACCCCGACTCTTGGAGCCTAAACTGATTGATTTCAGATAAATGAGCATCAATGATTTATTTGGATTTGCACCCCAGGAGTGTATACAGGTGGCGGTGGCAGTGGGGGTGGGGCACTCTCAGTGTTTGGTCCATCTGTCCTCACTGGGATGATCATACCTGTTGCTAGAATGTGGACATACTTCCATACGAGTAGGAAAAATCCACTGCCCCGAATTTCCCCTGGACCTGCGTTCTCCCTACCACCCGGCCCACATTCGAGGCTCCCCTGCAGCCTGCCAGCTGGTCACAGCTCCTATGCCCCAGCCTCTGCCCCTCTGGCCAAAGCAGGCCTGAACCTGGTGGGAGGGAGGGGTACCTGGTACCGGTGCTCACATCCCGGCCTGCCGACACCCACCCGTCCCCAAGGTTGGGGCTGTCTCCCATCACCCAGTATCCACCGTGCATTGTGCTGGTTGCTAAGCATTTGGAAATCACATCGGCCTCCTGAGACCTGTTTTCTACTTTGGACAGTCGAAATGAGAGTGTCTTTGATGGCTTACTTTCATCCTAGATGAAAGAGCTACAGTAAACAACAGTAATAGTAATCTTAATAAAGAAATTAGCGAGGACAGTAACAGCTATTATTTACTCAGCTCTGACAAGGTCCTAGGCACAGTTCTAAGCATGTTGCATGTATGAGCTCACACAGTCCTCACAGCACCACTTGGGGGTAGGTGCTGCAGAGATTCTGTTCCACAGACACAGAAACTTAGGTCAGTTATAGTGCCCGGAGCCTCACAGCCAGTCAGCGGCCAAGCTGGGCTTCAAACCCCGGCGGTCACACTCCGACACCTAGAAAGCAAAGGACTAGAGAAAAGGACACATGGTGTTTCCTCGGGCACCTGCTTCCCAGACTGTGGGAACGGGGCGGGGGAGACGGAGCCTATGATCAGAGTCGTGGTGGCATAAAACACGTTTCCTTCCCTGTTCATCTTTACTTATAGTTGTCTTTTATTCTTTTATGCATGCATGCATGCATTCATTTGTTCAACACCATCTGTTACGTTTGAAAATGGTGTTAAGTGTCAGACTTTGCCAGGTCCAGGTGTGGCTTTGTTCTTGCTGAGACTGAGTCAGCCGGGACCAGACAGGAAGTGCGGTCCTAACCATCCCGGCTCTGGGCAAATCCGGGTACAGGTGGGAAGCTCGCTCTCCACTCGACGTGCTCTGGGCGTATGGTTGAGCTAGGACCTTACAAAGGGTAAGTCCATACAGGGGCTCTGTGGGGAATTAAGCCTAATTTGGGGCACAGAACCCTGCCCTTCTTGCTGGGACTTGGGCCCTGGCTGGCCCTTGTGAAATATGGCCACTCATTCTTTGACATTCCTCCCGTTGAGAGGCTGGGTCTATGTCACGCCCCTGCCCTCGCCCCCTTGGACCTGGTGGGCCTGTGACCACTTCAAGGCAGGAATTATGTAGGAGAACCGCTGTGTGACTTCTGAGCGGAGGTTGTAAGGGCCAGGACAGCATCTGCCTTGTCGTCGGGAATGCTCCCCATCGGAGCTTTGGGCGGTTCCATGTCCTCGAGACCCCCATGCAGAAGAGGGCACATGGGGGTGCTCCACTCGGCAGTCCAGCTGAGCCCAGCCTTCCTGCTCCCTGGCCCAGGAGCCCGGGAGTGGGAGGAAGTCATCGCGGGATCCGGTCCCCATGAAGAGCTGTGGGCTTTATTCTGAAGGGGACACACACGGCACACTACTCGGCAGTGCTGTTTGGTTTCGATGACACACACAGATCCTGCCCTGCCTCCCTCCCTCCCAGGCAGCAGAGATGACGGGAGCCAGTGACCACCCACAGAGTATCCCTGCTGTTTCCCGTCCCCTCCAGCCTCCAGAACCAGGAGCTGGTGCTTCGTATGAAATACCTCTCGTGCCCTTTCAGGGTACGGGGACGTACCCTCAGAGCAGAGCACTGCGGTCCTCTGACGGCTGGTGGAAACCTTACTCCAGGGAGAAGGACCCAGATAAACGGCCCACAGCGAAGGAAGGAACACAGGGGAAAGAGATGCGCTCGTGAAGGATCTAAACAGGTTCCTAATTGTAGTCACCAAACAAGAACAGGTTGTCATAAAAAAATAATACTAATAAGCAATCATCAGAAAATAAGAGAGTTCTTGGAAATAAAAAATATTAAAGCTAACCTCTCACCCCTCAGAGTCAACAAAATCTCCCGAGATACGAAACAAAGGATAGACAGCGGAAGTAAACAAGGGACAAGTTAGAAGATCCTGAGGGTTGATTCCAGATGTCGAATGTCCATCTAATAGGGATTCTGGAAGGGACAGACAGAATGGAGAAGTCATAATTAAATAAATATAACATGTGAATAAATAAAACATGCATTTATTTTTTAAAAAATCTATAAAATAAATTAAATAAATAACATAATATTCGAAAAATTTCCAGAGTTAAAGACACAGAAGATTTCATAATGAAAGGGCTCATCCATTAAAGCAGGGCATTAAGAATCATCTCCATGTTGGAGACTCTCAAATCTGTGTCCCTAACCTCTCGCCTGTCCAGGATGTGTGGCAAATACACCAGACTCCAGAGGTCTCTCCGCAGCTCCACTTAGAGAAGTCCAAAGAGCCCCAAACGGCTTCTCCCCAGGCCCTCCCCAGTCAGTCAATGGCACATCATTCACCAAGTTACCCAAGTGAAAACCCAAGAGCCATCCTCGATTTCATTTGCTTTCCTCCCGAAGCCAGTGAAGACCCCAAATATAATCCCATCTCCCCACCTCTCCTGTGACGCTCTCTTCCCAACTCACCCCTGCCTGCCTGGTTTGTGGCAATAGCTTCCTACTGGTCTTCCTGTTTCTACTCTCACCCCTCTATCCCATGCTTCGTACGCAGCCAGAGTGATTCTAAAATATATACGTCAGATCAGATTACTTCCTAATTTACCTCGAGTAAGACCCAGGCTCCCTGCAGGGTCTGCGGGGCCACTCCTGTTTGCGTCAGCCTCGTCTATGGATTTCCGCTTCGCTCACTAACTCTCCAGCCACCCTGGCTCACTTCTGTCCCCACTGAGTCCGCTCTCATCTCGGTCCTTGGCGGTCATGTTCCCTTTACTGTGAGGCTCTTGCCCAGGCCTCCATAGGCTCCTAATTCAGGCCTCTGCTCCCCACCTTCTCAGGGAGGCTCCCCTGGCAACCTCAGCTAAGGCACGCCTCGTCCTGCCTCAGTTTACCGTCACCCCGGTCCCTGTTCTATTTTCTTCTTAGTGCTTAATATCTGAAGGGGTCTCATCTACTTTGTTGCTTATTTTATTGTCCATTTCCCACACCCGAACGTGACCTCCATCAGAACAGGGAATATACTGCTCTGAGATAGAGCCTCTAGGGTCCCTACAATCAGTATCTACCATAAGTACTGTGAACGAATGAATGAAGGAAATATATATATATATATATATATATATACACACACACACACACACACACATATATAATGTTTTTATTGATTTTTTTAGAGAGAGAGGAAGGTAGAGAGAGATAGAAATAGAAACATCCATCAATGTGAGAGAGAAACATTGATCAGTTGCCTCCTGCACGCCCCTCCACTGAGGATCCAGCCCCCAACCTGGGCTGTGCCCTGACCGGGGATCAAACCGGGACCCCTCAGTCCATGGGACGACAATCCACTGAGCCACACCGCCAGGCTGAACTTATATATTATCACAACATTTTAGAACACCAAAATAAATAACTTTCCCAGGAAAATGAAACAGTTTACTTACGACGGAGTAAGAACCAGAATGGGGGGTCTTCTCATAAGCGATAATGATGCTACAGGAAAACATAGTGATGCTTCGAAGTTCTGAGGGAAACGGTTTAAAGCCTAGAATTAGATACACAGCCCAACTTTCAATCAAATATGAGGACCGGTCAAGAAGTTTCGAACATGGAAAGACTCAGAACATTTGCCTTCTATAAACACTCTGAAGGGATTACAGACATCCTCAGCAGACAAACATCAACAACAACAACAAAAAATCATGGGACCCAACAAAGAGCAATATAGAGTAGAACGAAGTTATCATTGTGATAAAATGAATCCCAGGATTAAATCTGAGCGGCAGACCAGAGAAACAATTAGTCCAAATTAAAAACAAGAAACCCAGAGGACTCGGAGGGAAAAAAAAACCTCTTCCAAAGAAAATAGTCTGTAGCCAACCATATGATTAAGAAACAGGAAAGATTTTACTGATAAGGGAAAAGCATGAAAAAATAATAACAATATATATCATGTTCCCTCTCCCCATTCCTACTCCCAACTGTTTTTCTCCTAGTTTTTGAGTTATAGTAGTCTCTTCTTTCAATAGAAAATAAACTTTATTGAAGTATAATTTACATAAACAAACTGTACAGATCTCAAATATCCAATTCAATGATTTTGACAGATGTCTAGGACATTGGATCTACAACCAGTGAACCTACAATCAATGAAGACACAGATATACGTCTATGTCACATGCCCATCCTTACAGGAGGTCTCCACCACAGCCCTCCCCGGGCTGCATCACGGGTCTACCTATGCTAGAACCCCTGGTGGATGGAATCACACAATAGGTACTCTTTAGTGTCTGGATTTATCACTCAGCGTGAATTTTTTTAGAGTTGCAGGTACCAGCAGTTTGTTCATTTTATAGCTGAGGGATATTAAATTTTATGAATATAACACAATTGTGTTTATCTATTTTCTTTTTGATGGTCATTTGAGTAGTTTAAAGTCCTTGAATGTTATGAATAAAGCTGTTGCTAACATTCTTGTACGAGTCTTATGGGGGATATAAGGTTTCATTTCTCTTCAGAAAATCTAAGATTAGGTGTGTTTATATAAAAAAAAAAGTCCAAGCCCTGGCCGGTTTGGCTCAGCAGTTAGAGCGTCGGCCCATGGACCAGAGAGACCCGGGTTCGGATCCCGCTAAGGGCACGTACCTCGGTTGCAGTTTGTCCCTGGCCCCGGTTGGGGTTGTGTGGGTGGTAACCACTCGATGTGTCCCTTTCACGTCGATGTCTCTCTCTCTCTCTCTTTCCTCCTCTCTCCCTCCTGCTCTCTGAAGATAAATGCAAAAATGTCCTCAGAAGGATAAAAAAATAAAAAAGAAAAGAAAAAGTCCAACTCTTTTCCCAAGTGGTTGCATCATTATACACTTCAACATAATGTATGAGAATTAGAGTTGTTCCATATTCTTATCAACATTTAGATTGTCAATGATTTAAATTTTAGCCACGTTATTAAGTGAGGGGTGGTATCTCGTGGTTTTGCTGTGCGTTTACCTAGTGACTAATGATATTGGGCATCTTCTCATTTGCTTTCTTGGGCATTGTATTTTCCTTTGTAAATTGTCCTTTATCTGTTATTTTTATTATATTGTTTACTTTCTAACTACTTAGTTATAAATTTTTGATATATTCTGGAAACAAGTCTTTTGTCAAATATAGTGTAAATATTTTGTCCCAGTTTTGTTTTGTTTTTTTATCCTCACCCGAGGATATTTTTCCATTTTTTTGTACAGATAGAGTGGGAGGGAGAATGAGGAAGGGAGAGAGAGAGAGAAACATCGACGTGAAGGGACACATCGAGTGGCTGCCACCCGCACGACCAACCAGGGCCGGGGACAAACTGCAACCGAAGTACGTGCCCTTAGCGGGATCCGAACCCGGGTCTCTCCGGACCGCAGGCCGACGCTCTAACCACTGAGCCAAACTGGCCAGGGCTTGTCCCAGTTTTTAATTCCCTTCACAGTGTTGACTAATTCTACCTCTGTGTCAGTTCTGAGTTGATTCTGATTCATGGATTTTTCTCCTCATTATAGGTAATATTTTTCTGCCTTTTTTTTTGCATGTCAGGTAATTATTTTTGGATACCAGATATTGTAAATTTTACCTTCTTGGGTCCTGGATATTTCTGTATTCCTATAAATATCCTAGAGCTTTGTTCAAGGATGCAGTTTAGTTGCTTGAAAAGTTTAATCTTTTTAGGTCTTACTTTTTAAAATGTTTAAGTGGGACCAGGGTAGTGCATATTCCAGAGCTAGTTATTCCCCACTGCTGAGGCAAGACCCTGAGCACACTCGCGTGTCCTGGGAATTTCACGGGTTCCCAGCCTCACTGCTGGCAGGGAGCACTGTTCTTGCCCCGCTGAACACCAGCAACTGTTCTCTCGAGGCTGTGCATTTTCATTCGGGGTGATAGTGCCCCCAGGGGGGCAAAATCTAGTTTCTGAAGAATATCTTTTACTCTGTTTATATGCAAAACAGAGATATACACATGTATGTATATGTACATACATATATGTGTGTGTGTGTGTGTGTGTGTGTGTGTGTATATATATATATATCTCTGATGTACATAAATAACTCTACGGGTATACATTATTGTGTGTGGCATTAAAATTTCATGGGGGATACATTCCTAAGAAACCTGAAACACCAATCAGAAAGAATATATGCACCCCTGTTTATCATAGCAGCGCTATTTATAATAGCTAATAAGATCTGGAAACAGCCCAAGTGCTCATCAGTAGAAGAGTGGATAAAAAAGCTGTGGTAGCCCTGGCCGGTTTGGCTCAGCAGTTAGAGCATCAGCCTGCAGACCAGAAAGTCCTGGGTTCAGTTCCCGCTAAGGGCACGTACCTCGGTTGTAGTTTGTCCCCAGCCCCGGTTGGAGTCATGTGAGTGGCAAGCACTTGATGTGTCTTTCTCATGTCAATGTTTCTCTCTCTCTTTCCCCCCTCTCTCCCTCCCACTCTATCTGAAGATAAATGCAAAAATGTCCTTGGGTGAGGATTAAAGGGAAAAAAAGCTATGGTACACATGCACAATGGAATATTATGCAGCTATAAGAAAGCTCTCTTACCCTTTGAGGCGACATGGAGGGACCTGGAGAGTATTATGCTGAGCGAAATAAGCCAGTCAGAGAAAGACAGGTACCACCACATGATCTCACTTATTTATGGAATATCATGAACAACATAAGCTGTCGATCAAAATAGGTCCCAAGACATGGAATAGGGAACAGACTGACAAACCTCAGAGGGAAGGGGGAGCAGGGGCCGGGAAGAGATAAACCACAGAATGTGTATGCATATGTGCACAACCAATGGACAGACAACAGTTTAGGGAAAGCAGGAGGGGGTGGGAGTAGGGGGGTCAGTGGGGGGCAAAGGGGGAGACATCTGTAATACTTTCAACAAAAACATTTCACAGGGGAGCATGATAATGAAAAAAATGGTCTATCTTAATAAGGTTGAGAAATGCTGTTCTAATGAAGTTGAGGGGTTCTTTCCCCTGCCTCAGGTAGTGTCTTCCGGTGTGCTGACGAGTTCTCTGCGGAATCCTGACCTCCGCAGATCCCTGATCTCTGTGCTGCTGTCTCCTCTCCGGGCTCTGTCCTCAGCCTCTCGCCGCCTGTCCCTCGGGCTCCGGCTCCATTTCCCCGACTCCGGGTTCTTCTGGGCTCTGCCTGACCCTCCCTGCAGCGTGGCCTGGACGCTCGGCAGCGGAGCCATCACCAGGCTCTTCTCATTCGCTTCCCTTAGCGAAGGGATCACTTTCTAAGCCTGGTGGCCAGTGTCTCGAAAGCCAGTTTCGTACCATTTGTTCTGGGTTTTGATGATTTTATGCAGGAAGGCAAATCTGTTCCCTAGTACTCTGTCTTGGCTAGAAGTGGAAGTTGGCTATTTTCACCCTAAACAGCACAGGTTTGGTGACCCAGGATCACAAATATCTCCTTCCAGGCAGGTACAGCCACGCTATTTCGGTAACAAATTGATTCTTATGCAATAATTTTAGTTTACAGGTGGTTATTGCATTTTAATGGCAGACCCAGCCTTAGGCAGAGCATGAAAAGTTCCAGCTGCAGGACAGAACATCAGTGCTCCCCAGCGATCCCGCCAACGCCCTGAGCAGCGGTGTGGCCACCGGGACCGCGAGGGGGCCGTCGAGGAGGGAGACACGGAGAACGCGAGCCGGCTGATCGAACACGATGGTGGATCAGGGTTAGAGTCAACAACTGCTGTGTCAGGAAACAGTTTTAAATATATTATTACAAGCTAGCAAGCTAAGCCGACAGAAGTAAAATGAGAATGTTCCCAGCAGGACCTGGGGACGGAGGGGCACAGGGAAGGAGCAGTGGATGAGCCATGATGGCCACTTCCCCGGGCGGAGGCTGGTGTTCCCGCAGCGCTAAGGCCGAAGCCCAGGGAGGCAGCCGCTCTCCAACTGAGCTACTGAAGTGCGGCCCGTGCGACTGAGGAACTGGATTCTTTAATTAAATGTTTATTAATTAATATTTAAATTAATAGCCAGTGTGGCTAGTGGCTATTGCATTAAGTAGCAGCGATATAGATGTTTCCATCATCATAGGACGTTCTACTGGACAGCACTGGTCTAGAGTTTGGGTGACAGGTATCAGAAGAATCAAAACCTGAAACGATGACGCGTAAGTTCTTGGCACCGAGGCTGGGGAAATGGGAGGAGGCTCTTACTTTCCCTACCAACCCTCCCTTAGGCTTTGGCTGTTCACTATCTGGATCGTATTTGATCACGTGTCCGGAATGCTCGTCGCAACCTGTCACCTCAGTGGCCACCACAGTCCGTCCATTTCCACAGGATTTTTACGATTTTTGGTGTTGAGTGAAAACAGCCATTTAAAGGGAAGACATTTGTTCTTGTAAATTCTAATAGTCATAGTTAAACAAATGTTGTCGTTAATCCCCATTTCCTACCCAACATCTGTGGCTCTGATAAAACACGAAATTATTCCAGTTCATAAAATTAAATACTATTCGTCACCGCCCAGGCCACAGCTGTACGTCTGAGTCAGTTATCTGGC